CCCCCAACCCCCGCCCCCATCCCGCCCTTCCCGCCGCCCGACAGGAGCGCCTGGCCGCCGCCGAGGCGCTGTACGAGGTTCTCAAGGGCCGCAACCTGTCTGAGCTGGCGCGCCTCAACCTCGAAAGGGCCGACGGCTTCGGCCGCGCGCTGCAGCACTTCTCGCGCGTGCAGGGGCAGCTCGCCGCCGCCGTTTCGGACGCCTGGGGCGCGGCCGCGGCCGCGGGGGGCGGCGGGCCGTGAGAGGCTGTGCGGCGGTGTGTATGTGATGAGGGGGCGACGGCCGCAATATGCGACCAGCGCCAAAGAAAGGGGACGTCTGGTTTGATCCAGGAGAGGGCTGTCGGCTGCCCGCAAGTGCACAGCAAACGAACAACGGCCGTCCTGGCGCCGGCCGCCGGCGACCTGCCGGCTCCCACAGCACGCGGCGCGAGCTGGGTAGGCAGCGTGGCCCGTCCGCGCAGGCGGCGTTACGGCTGATGACCGTGCGCGGGCGCCCCTGCCTGCGCGATATGTTTGTGCGTTTCGACCAAATAAGCGGCAGCGCGGGCATGGCTCCCATTCATGGTCGAGCCGCCCGCGCGCCCAGAGCCCAGTGCGCAGCGCCCGGACACCGCGCCCCCCACTCCTGGTTCGCGCACCAGCCGTAGATAGGTCTCTCCTCGCTTGTTGCAAGGCAGCGCTGCCCTGCCAGCACGCGGCGGGCCGCCGCGCCGGCGGCGCCCGGGGCGTCTGGCCGTATCTGTGTGGCACAGGCGCGCCCTGGGAGGCGCTTTTTCCGTTCCTTTGATGGGGTAGGGAGTTGTCTGTGCCCGCCCATTGTATGTACATACGGTGTTGGCCCCCTTAGTATGACGTTCTGGCGACACCGAGGGCCCTCTTGCAGGGCAGAGAAACTGAGGCACAGGCCCATGTGCCAGGCCCGAGTTGGCCGCATGCAGGTGGCACGTGGGCGCATCGGCGCTCCCCTACCTCGCCCTGTGGCGGAGCCTTGCCGGCAGAAACGCGCGCGCGCGCGCAGGAGCGTCGCCGCGGCGCGGCGCGGCAAACGATCAACCCCCGGGGCTCGGTCTCACTAGGGTCCCTTGCTTTAGCACCTCACTCTTCCTTGTTCCTTCCGGCGGCGCTCATGCGTACGCGTGCGCGAAACCCTGTCGTCGCCCTCTGTCCCGTCCCGGCGTGACGTCATCGCATGACGTCACCGCACGCGCCACGCCGACGCCACATCAGCAGAACAGCAGCACTATAAAGCGCGGCACGCGCGCGAGGCATGTGTTTGGGATTACGTGTTGTTTTCTGGGCGGGGGAAGGGGCGCTTTCAACAAGGCGGTTGCATCTGCTATCGGTCCCGGACTGCTTGCATGGTCTGCTTTTGCTTGTGCTTTTCATTGCCGGGTGCGCATGATAGCAATCCAGCATGTTTCAACCACCCAAGCAGCACGCACCTGCACCCACCACAGTCTCCTGCCCCCACGCCGTCAGCGTCGCGCGTCCCAGCGCAGCGCACCCCCACTGCGGCGCGGCGCGCCGCGAGCGGGGGTGCGCCTGCATTTCAATTCTCCACGCGCCCGTGCGCTCTCTCTGCAGCCCCTCAAGCCCTTTTTCATCCGCGTCAGAGAAGTTTGCCCCTGGAAGGGCAGCCGTGTCCTTGCCCTGACGTCCGAGCCCGAGCCTGCCGCGGGGGTACCGAGACGGTTCGTACTTCCTTCATAAACCCGTCCTCTCGCGCGCCGTCGCCCCCAGTTGCTGAGCCCCGAGCCGACGCCTGCTCAAAGCGGGACACCCGCCCGCCCTACACACCCCCGGCGCGAAGACGCAGTCCGCGCCAGGGGGTGGGTTGCATCGGTGTGCGCGCGCCCAAGCCTCAGGATATTTTTTCCCGGGCTTTGCAAAGCGCGGCGTTGGCCCGGGGCGGGCGCGTGCTGTCGGGCCACTCTCTCTCCGACAGCCTGCGTGGCTCTCAGTGCCCCCCCCCTGGGAATGTCTCCCGAGCCGCCTGGTCAGGGTGCCTATCTGCCCCACGGCCGTCGCGTCGCCGCCTGACACGCGGCGCTTGCGCCCGCCCCATGTTGACCGCGTGTCCGCGCCCCGCCCGGCGGTCATGCCGGCGCCACGAGTCGCGAGCCGTCGGGCGTGGGGCCTAGAGTGCACAGTAGAGGAGCCGGGTTGGCGAGGACACCTTGGCAGCAGCATGTGTACACCAGGGCGTGCTTGCATGCACACACACGCACCCCTCGTGTCGAGTGGGGCCCGTCGGCGGCGGCTGCGACTAGAAGGGGCGTTTTTTGGCGGGCCTGCGAAAGCGCCCTTGCGGGGTTGTTGCACTTGCTCCCAAAAAAGTTCCCCCTGTGACCACAGCGTTGGCCCCGCCCCATATCATCCCCTGTGGGGTGTGGGGGGGGGCCCTCCGCCAGCTCAGCACTTCATCCACTTTCTTTTACTGCCCAGTGCCCATCGCCCCTCCACGCAACCCTGCGACGCAGCGGCCGGCGGCGCCGAGTTGCGCTCAGCGCGGCCGCAGGCGCTGCGATGGGCTTGCGCGCCCTCAAGGCGCGCGTCCGTCGATCCGCTTTTTCGAGTACTGGCTTGGCAGGCAAGCAAGCTTCCTGGTTTGATCCATGCGCGTGTAACCATCTGTGCTGTGCCCTCTGTCCCGCGGCCAGGCGCGCATGACGCGGCACACGTGAGTGTCATTTCTGCGGCAGTTGCAGCCGTTGCACAACGGTGGGCAGCCTGGAAGCTTATGTGCGAAGCTGTGCAGCATTGACCGGTCAAGGCTTGTGGATTCGGGGCGTTGGAGCAATGGACTGCCACCACGTGTAATCATGTCCAACCACAAGCACCCAACCAGCCAGCCAGCCACATCCGCAACACTGCCATGGCCGCCCGAGCATGTGGTGCGATTATGAACCACTGCAGCCACTACGAAGCTCGGTGGTAGCTGCCCGTTGTAGCGAATTACACCATGCATCAGAGTGTCCCAAAACTTATGTCATCGATCAAAGCCGATTTTATCATCTGAGGACCCCGGTGTCGCAGCGAAAGCTCTGGCAGAGCGCGTCTTACCTCATCCGCGCGCGTCCGTATACGTCGCTACGCAGAAACTTTACTGTTCAGCGTGTTCATCCATAGCCTCTGCGCAAGGGTGGCACTGCGCTTGCTGCAGCAAGGCGTGCCATCGACCGCGTTGCCTCGACCGCTGCTGCTGTAGAACCCAGCCGTGCGCGGCGCCCGCCCTCTCCAACGCGCGCAACTGGCAGCGAGGCCGGTCCAAGGGTGCACCAGGGATGCTCAACGGCGAGCTGAAGGCCCGCGCTGACCGGCTGGCGCGGGAAGCCAAGGTGAGCAGAAGCTTCTCATGCGGGCGCCCCCGGCTCGCCAAAGCATGTGCTCGTGCACGGGCATGCGCATGCGCATGCGCCGCCGTGCATGCTGCGCCCCCCCAGCATGCCGCCAGCTAATCCAGGAGCCCGCGCCTGGGCTACCTCCGCTGCGCCGAGCCGCATGTTTTTTTTCCGACACAGCAGCACCCAACGCCACGTGGCGTGCGCCCCCACGCATCCACCCACCCATTCACCACCCCCCCAGGAGCGCTCCGACGCGGAGCGCCGGCGCCGCGAGAAGGAGCGGCTGCTAGCGGAGCGGCAGGCGGCGCGGCAGCGGGCGCGGGAGGAGGAGCAGCGGGCGCGGCGGCTGGCGGTGCTGGCGGCAGAGCAGGCGGTGGGTGGGGAGCCGCGGTGGGGTTTGGCGCGGGGCGTCGTAGATACATGTATCTGTGACCGAGGAGTATTTTGTCCGACGAGGCAGGCAGCGGCGGGGACGCGGGCCGACGAGGCAGGCAGCGGCGGGGACACGGGC